GTCACACTTTGTTTTAAAACTTAACACAAGAACATCACATTTACAACCAGTCGAGTTTCCAAGAACTTGTTGTTGCGTTAAATAAKTTGGTAAACACTGCTCAGTTTGTATTAAATAGAGAAATTTCTTTTGAGTGTGTCCAGTTGAAGAAGAGAAACGGCGAAGTGAAAGACGCGGAGAAAGCCATTTCTGTAAAGCAAAAATGACCGAGAAAGAAACAAGAAMAACGATTTGCTTCTTTTTAACCCTGAACATAGCAATACGAGTACTTGTGTCTGGCTTCTTCCATTCAGTTATTTCTCTTGTTGTGTGTTCAATTGTGTTTGATGAGTTGACTTGGAAACCAATTCGTTTGATCAAGCATGTGTCTATCCTTGTCCACATGCATCACTAAGAGTCACGGTCTTCCTGACTTTTTCTGAAAGCCAAAAGAGGGAGAATGGACGCGAATCAGAAAGATTTCCTTTTCTTCATATTTCGACTTTCTCCTCACTAGTCCATGGCGGTCAAGCATTGGCCACATCTTAGGATAACTCATAGATGATCAGCTTAAATGGTAGTTTCAATCTGATCTTTTTTAGATGGGGACGACTGTAATCTCCGTCGTGGATGGATGGAATGGACTTTGAACCGAAGCAAAATGCAACTTTAAAACCATTTTTTCCGTTTTGTGTTGTTKGTTKGTTGGTTGGTTGGTTTTTGTTTTAAACAAAGCTTACAATATGGTGCATTGTCTCGTCGGATGCAAGTAGCCCTTTAAGTTGGACTCAACATCTCAACGTTAGCAATACAAATATGTCACTACGATTCTTATGTACTTCACCATTCACCGAAGGATTTATCTAAATCTACTTTACTTTAAGTGCTGTCATGTTAAAGACGTCACGTTATGATTTATAATCGATAAGATTAAGTCCTTTTTAAAGTCCTTTTTTTTTCTAAGTTGTCATATGATATAATATGGTGTCCAACTTTTATCCATGAGAATAGTCTCGATAGTGCCTCACAGCCATTTTTGGAATAAAGTCATAAAGAAAGATACGAGGCATTGTGTGATGTATAAAAAAGGTCTTGAAAGGAAAATGAGAGAAAGCATTAATGACTCACCACAATAGTTGTCAGTAGATACTGCTCCTTTAATGGTCATTTTAACTTGATTACCACTGCAAGCAGAACCATCCTTGTTAAGAGTTGCCGCTGGAGAAAGAAAATATATTTCAGTAAAAAGTTTGGACAGAAATGAGAAATCTATGAAAAACATACTTTAGTAGATCCTATCTCATGATTCTGCGTAATATATTAAATCATTCCTTATTTTGACATCACTTCATGTTTTAAAAATCATTCATTATTTGAAAACACTTCATATTGAATCATTATCATTTAGTGATAATGGGAGGGGGGAATTCAAAAGTATTTCAAAACATAATATRCTAACTTACCAACGCAATCTGGTATTTTCTTGCTTGGAGACCAACTAGCRGTTGTACAAGTCCAAAAGCTATACGGCGATGGATTATTGAAAATTTGTTTGCCACTAGGGCATGAAACTTGGCAATAATGAGTYTGACCAAAGCTTTTGCATGACGCAGTCCCTCCATGAGGTGSAGAAAGAGATGGACATGGTGCCCCTGTAAYAATGATAAAGTTAGCGGGKTTTTTTATTGTTGTYGTTGGTTTGCTGTTGYTTTTTTCTTTTTTTCAATCTCGATTTATCCAGATTTTTATGCTCGACAAGTTGCTCGTTTTGCCTTTTTGCCTGCGTACCGAMAGGCCAAATGCCCTATTTCATTATGACGTTTGTTTCAYCGGAAAACGATGCTTAAAAATAGTGGAAATTTGGACCCATTTATATTGTCTCTTAAAGTAGGAATTCTCAGTGTATCGAGGTTTGATATATGTCATGTATAAATGATTGCTCATGTACATTTTATTTGATAGAGCGGATTTCRTATGAGTGGGAAACGGACGGTACTGTACTGTGACCGTAATCGTACTGTAACCAAATTCTAGTGCCCCATTGGTTCACCAAAATTGTGCAGGCCAGGTGCGGTAACTGYGCGGYAACCGTGTGGTAACGGTGTCCCACTCATACGAAATCCGCTCTATGCAAGCAATCTGATCTCTATATAGATGTAGACGTCAAAATAGGAAAAGTACAACTAAATAATTTGCAAATGAGATTCGTAWGTAGCCGGCGATTAACTAAGCTATAASTGGCGATTTTCTCCGGCTGCCAGCTTCTACTGAGAACCCTGGGTATTCGCTATTGATGCCAATATTCATACATCAATGTCACACCAATGTGTTGTAGATTTACGTTTACGTATAAATTAACGTTGAAAGTTACTTACGTTTAACGATTACTTCGAATTTACAGACAGCGCGATTTCCCGCAGCGTCTGATGCAGTGTAGTACACATTCCATGAGCCAACATCGAATGTTTGACCACTAGTATGTGTTGATGTTACCTTGGTAACGCCTACGTTATCAGAGAATGTTGGCTTAGGCCACGAGACCTGGGCGTTGTTTGTTTTTGTCGTGAGCGCGACTGGACCGCTGGGACAGCTGACTTTCTTGGGGGCTTCCTTGTCTGTAGGGAATGGAATATAATTTAAAATTACATAAGGACTTCGCTCATGGTGTTTACAGTTGGGTAATTGAGTGATGTGGCTACTTTTTTGGTTAGTTGGTTGGTGGGTTGGTTGGTGGGTTGGTTGGTTGGTTGATTGGTTGGTGGATTAGTTGGTTGGTTGGTTGGTTGATTGGTTGATTGGTTGATTGGTGGATTGGTGGATTGGTGGATTGGTGGGTTGGTTGGTTGGTTGGTCGGTTGGTTGGTTGGTTGGTTGGTGGGTTAGTGGGTTGGTTGGTTGGTCGGTCGGTTGGTTGGTCGGTTGGTTGGTTGGTTGATTGGTGGGTTGGTGGGTTGGTTTATTGATTGGTGGATAAGTTGGTGGGTTGATTGGTTGGTCAGTTGATTGGTTGTTTAGTGTGCTAGAATGTATATGTGGTTTATCGGCTGACGTCAGTCTATACAGGTAATGTTTCCATGACACTTACCGTTCACAATAACCAGAATAGAACAGGAATCAGAACCTGCGCTATTTTTAGCTGTCCACGTGATTCTTGTCATTCCGGCAGGGAACTGGTACTTAGCATTGACATTGCTTGGCTTGACTTCTAAAATATCACCTGTATACGTTGGGTCTTTCCACACGGCACTGACATCAGCTGTCTTTTGACCGCTTCCCAAGTCTACGGTTATATCAGCAGGACACCTGACCGTAGGTTTGGCAACCACTACAAATGAGAAATGATTTGTTGAAAAAAATTTTATYACAACTATTGAGAGACTTTTAGACACTCGTTTCTTTCAAAGGTACTATTAACTTATAGGATGATCAAACCACACAGCATCTCCCACTTTTCCTCTTTTTGTTCTTGTCAGTTTCCCAGTATGTTCTCAGCCCCCAGCCCACTCTAACTGCCTTTACCATAGTAGAAGTTTTTACAATTATATAGTGTAACATCCTACACGATCGCTCAAGCTTTCTGGTTTAGAATCTTCCAATAAATCAATAATCACCCTAGACTCTCTTGTGTAGAGATTATGGGCCAATACAGCACTCAATCTGACAGCCGTATTTGTTAAAACAAAACTGCTATTTTTCCGTAGAGTTTACGTTATACTTACGTTTACGTTTATTATTCCGTAGAGTTTACGTTATACTTACGTTTGATGCAGGTAGGCACTGATCCAGTCCAAGTCCTATCTGCTTGACATTCCCTTAATGTTGAGCCACTTCTCTGGTAGCCGTTGTTACATAGATAAGTACACTGTCCTTGATACGTATTGCCAACGGTAGTACATGTTGAAGGAATTAGCCTTCCATTTAAAAGTGGTTTCAATGGTGGGCACTTGACACCTGGAACGTTGTACAGCTCTTTAATATTTGCGAGTGAATTTCCTATGTYAATACGCTAATAGTATACGTAGCATTGATATTTGTGAAAAGCATTACTGATACAACAGAGATAGAGTCAATTTCGTATGAGTGGGAAACGTACGGTAGAAATTACCGCACGGTTACCGCACAGTTACCGGACCTGTCCTGCACAATTTTTGTGAACCAATGGGGCACTAGAATTTGGTTACAGTACGATTACGGTCACCGTCCGTTTCCCACTCATACGAAATTGACTCTACGAATGACATGCGTGATACTTGAATGCGATACGTTGCGTATTATTATTACGTAAGACAATTTACACGTGGTATTTGCGTAAACTGACAAGTAGGTAGTAGTATTGCGCCATATACGTACGTATCTGTATATTTTGGTTTTAAAAGTCTTCGTCAAATCTATTCGTAACGGGAAAATAAGTGATATGTATTCTACGTACGTATATAGCGTCTACATCTAGCTTCACGTAGGATATGTCAATACGTATCCTTGGCATTGAAGCGTAATGAGTCACTGGTACGAATGGTACGTAAACGTAATGATGAGGAACTTACGCTGACATCTTGGTACACCAATCCAGCGTCCACCTGCACCACAATTGACCGTGTTGACGTTAGAATCTTCAAGCTCGTAACCATGGTTACATGAGACCGTACACACATCACCATAGTAATTAGCATCGGATTGTGTGCATCGTGACGGCGATACGGAACTTTGATACGGGACTGACATCGGACCACACTTGTCCTCTGAAAAAAGAATGTCGTTTGAATGATTACCATTGAGTAGCGATCCAATAAGGCAGCCTATCTGTCAATCAACTCAATCAATATCTACTTAATGAATGCTTTTCAAGTGATAAAACCAAAAATTTTGTAAAAGTTGTTTCCGTMTGTTTTCCGTAAGCATAGTTAATAGAGAGGACTAATACTATGGTTTATCCCAGTTGGAATCTAATTTGAATTTAATTTTCAAATGTTCATTTGATAAAACATGATCGTATCTATGAAAAGCATAAAATAGTACAAAATTTGAAAGACGATGCATTGATCAAGCGCTACTGGTTCAACATGAATGAATACACGGATCATCGTATGGATTTAYGTTAAGACACAAGAAGAGATCATTTTACCATGATCGTGTAAAAATGTTGTCAAAATAGCGTGTTAACTATATATGGTGCTAACTATGATATACTCACTTATGCAAATTTTGTTGTCTTTTCCTTGGTGATATCCATTTTTGCAGCTGCAATAGTAGTTACCGACTGTATTAATGCAGGTCGATGTAGCGGCTTGACACTGATGAGAACCTTCCTTACACTCATCCACGTCTAAAAATAGATCATCACGTCATTTAAACAGTCGCCTCTACTGAATTTTTTTGCTGATGATTTATCCCGATGAGGGACATGTCAAAGAAAGCCGCGTTCCTTTTGATAACAGGTTGAAGCAATAGTACCTCCTTCACGGTTCCCTGCGCCATCTTGAAAGGTAACCATGCTTTTTCATCGAAACGGGAGCGTTGAGCGTACAAAGATAGATACCTGTGAATATTTCTATCATTGCGCGCTCAACGGTCGTTTCGCTTCGATGCCAAGGCACGGCTACCTTTTAAGATGACACAGGTAAGCGTAAAGAAGTCTAATGCAATTTTACAKCTATAGGAGCTATAGGTACATTGACTGACCTCTACAGCCATACTGCGAAGACTTTGTGTATCCCTGGCGACATCTACAGGAGTAGCCTCCATCGTTATTGATACAGTCGGACACTTTGTAGTCACAATGGTGGTTACTAGATAGACACTCATTGATATCTGATAATATCATAATATCATTAATACTCTCATCAGTTAATTCATTGATAAGATTCATGAGTGAGAACGGTGAACTCGATTTCCAAAAGATAAAGAAACTGAAAGGGATATTTACCTTTACAAGAAAAGAAGTCTTTTYGTTCATAACCCTKTTTGCAGTCGCAGCGGAACGAGCCGATTGTATCGATACACYTTGTGTTTGCTTTACAYTGGCTCTGTTTGCATTCATCGATATCTAGATAAAAAMCACAGAAGTCAAGCCAGCGTTAGCGTTAGGTAAGAACTACAATGAGGCTAAAAGCTAACAATTTAGAAATGCCTGAATAGAAATTCTGCCGTGGACATTTTTAGAAGTCGTATTTACAGCTCATATAATATATAATATATATATAGGATAAGTTAGTATAATATCCCCTCTCCTTTAGTGCTGTTCCTTCTTCACCGGTAACAGTTGCACAGAAAATATTACCAAAGGATTAAAATTAACTACAGAAACTA